GGGGGAGTCCCCCAGGCCGGGGCAGTCGCCGGCTCCCAAGGGGACCCCGTCAGCTGCCAGGCCCTGCGGGCAGTACTTGGGGTCGTAGATCTGTCGGCCCAGGCCAAAGACCTGGCCGCTCTGGCTGGCGCCCTGTGTGTAGCCCATCTGCAGGGACATGGAGGAGTTGTCACACTTGTCCGTGCCCAGCTTGGTGTCGTAGATGTGCCGCCGGGTGCCCGGAGCCGTCATGCCCACCTGGAGAGGAGCAGGGGGCAAGAGCGTCAGGGGCAGTAGACGGAGGCTCCCAGGCCCCATCCCTGGCTTCTGTGTCACCTCCTGGCCCTGCCTCTGCACGCACAGGGCAGGACGCGGAGGGGACTCTCCCAGCCAAGACCACTCTTTTTTTAAAAGAATAATTGAGGCCGGGTGTGGTGGCTCACGCCTGTCATCGCAGCACTCTGGGAGGCGGAGGTGAGAGGCTTGCCTGAGCTCAGGGGTTTGAGACCAGCCCAGGCAACATGTTGAGACCTCGTCTCTACGATAAATAAAAAATTAGCCAGGTGTGGTGGCGCACACCTGTGGTCCCAGGTATTTGGAAGGCTGAGGTGGAAGGATCGCCGGGGCCCAGTGGATCGATGCTGGGGTGGCCATGAGTGTGCCCCTGCACTCCCACCTGGGTGACGGAGGGAGACTCCGACTCAAAAACAGAAAAAATTAGAGTCAGGGTTTTGCTCCTCCCTCAAGGCTGGGGTGTGGTGACACGACCATAGCTCCCTGCAGCCTTGACCTCCTGGGCTCCAGCAATGCCTCCCCTCTGGCCTCCCACGAAGTTGGGACTGCAGGACCACCAAGCCTGGCTCGTTTTGTTTCTTATTTTTTGTAGAGATGAGGTCTCGCTGTGTTGCCCAGGCGGGTCTGGAACTCCTGGCCTCGAGCAATCCTCCGGCCTCGGCCTCCCAAAGTGCTGGGGACACAGGCGTCAGCCCCCTGCGTCCGGCCGGAACCTGAATTGGGTGGACCAGCCGGGCTCGGTGGCTCAGCCTGTCATCCTGCGCCTTTGGGAGGCTGAGGTGAGCGGA